TCGCGGTTCGCGTCAACGTCCTCCTCCTGTCCCTGGCACGCATAGGATGTCTCTGCGTCCGTCCACTACTCCTCTGCGTGCCCCTTTGCCTTCTCCTCCTAAGTCTACTCTTCCTGCTCTTGCCGACCCAGAGTCGGACTCTCTTTGTGCTGCCAGTCCTACTGTCACGCGTCTCCTTGCTACTGTTGTCACTGACCCTTCCTTTGAGTCAGCTGCTGCGTCTGCCTTGGTTGCTGAGCTGGTCGACTTTGCTGCCGCGTGTCGTCTAGACTACGCCACCAGTCTTGTGGCTGAGTCTAAGTCTGCTGAGTCAGCGTCTGCCTGTCCTCCGTCCGTCGGGGGTGAGTGTGCTCTTAGCACGGACGTCCTTGAGGACAGGCAGGAGGAGTTCCAGTGCTTTGCCGCCGCTTTGCCCCATCTCGTGTCCATGCTTGTTGCCCCTGAGGGAGACCCGGATGCACCAGACATCCTGACCCCACGCTCTTACGCAGAGGCGATGGCCGGTTCCTACTCCTCTCAGTGGCAGTCAGCCATGGACGCAGAGATGGCTTCCTGGAAGTCCACAGGCACCTACGTCGACGAGGTTCCCCCACCTGGGGCGAACATCGTCAGTGGCATGTGGATTTTCAGGGTGAAGCGGCCGCCGGGTTCTCCGCCTGTCTTCAAGGCGTGTTACGTGGCTCGTGGCTTCAGTTAGTGGCAGGGAGTTGACTTCTTCCAGACCTTCTCCCCGACCCCGAAGATGACCACTCTTCGGGTTCTGCTGCACGTCGCCGCTCAGCGTGACTACGAGCTCCAGTCTCTTGACTTCAGCACTGCTTTCCAACAGGGCAGCCTGCACGAGGAGATCTGGCTGCGCCGCCCTCCTGGCTTCACTGGGTCGTTCCCTCCTGGTACCCAGTGGAGCCTCCGGCGGCCAGTCTACGGTCTCCGCCAAGCGCCGCGCGAGTGGCAAGACACACTGAGGACTATACTTGCGGCTCTTGGGTTCGCTCTCTCTACTGCTGACCCGTCGCTGTTTCTACGCACCGACACCTCGCTGCCGCCGTTCTACATCCTCGTGTACGTTGACGACTTGGTCTTTGCCACTGCGGACACTGCGGCACTCGCCCACGTGAAGTCGGAGCTGCAGAAGAGACACACGTGCACAGACCTGGGTGAACTGACGAGCTATCTTGGCTTGCGGATCACCCGGGACAGAGCACGGTGCACATCACCGTGACTCAGTCACACATGGTGCAGCAGGTCCTTCAGCCCTTCCGCTTCACGTACTCCTCGCCTCAGCCCACTCCTCTGCCTACAGGTCACTCGCTCTCAACTCTGCCTTCGGATGAGTCCGTAGAGCCGAGTGGCCCGTATCCAGAGCTTGTGGGTTGCCTCATGTACCTGATGACCTGCACTCGACGTGACCTTGCATACCCTCTTAGCATCCTGGCACGCTATGTCGCTCCCGGCCGTCACCGGAAGGAGCACATGGATGCAGCTAAGAGGGTGTTGCGCTACTTGTGCAGTACGTCGGGCATGGGGCTAGTGCTTGGAGGGCGAGACCGGGTTGTTCTCACTGGGCACTCAGACGCTTCTTGGGCGGACGACCAGGCTACTCAGCGGTCGTCTCAGGGTTACACCTTCAGTCTTGGCTCTGGCTTTGTCTCTTGGCGTTCTACACGCTCTTCTTCTGTTCTCAGCTCCAGCTGTGAGGCTGAGATCTACGCCACGGCCTTGGCTGCCCAGGAGCTACGCTGGCTCACCTACCTGCTGACTGACCTTGGAGAGCGGCCTCGTTCTCCTCCAGTGCTGTACGTCGACAACAAGGCAGCCATTGCCTTGTGTGAGGAGCACAGACTGGAGCACAGGACGAAGCACATTGCTCTGCGCTACTTTCTTGCTCGAGAGCTGCAGCAGCGTGGTCAGCTTCGTCTGCGCTATGTGGCCACTGAGGCCAACACTGCTGATGTGTTCACCAAGGCGCTTCCGCCTTGTGACCATCAGCACTTTTGCACTCTTCTAGGCCTTGTGCCCACTGGGCCTCACTTGCTTACCTCCTGACCTTGCTTGTACTGTTGCATATATATATACCTGCTCTTGCTTGTCTAGCACTGTTATATATATGCACTCCTGCATGTGAACTGGCCTTGTGGCCTTGAACTTGTGCTCGGAATGTGTGGTGACGTTGAGATCCACCCTGAGCTTGCTTTGCTTTGCTTTGCTTTGCTTGACCGGTCTTGTGACCCCTTGTTCTCCCCCTGATATTTTGGGCCCTGGTGCAAACTATGGGGCGGGCTATGGGGCGGGCTACAGTAATACATAAGGTGAAACCGAAGTTGGGTGCGGGTTGGGCAAGGGAAAACCGAAGGCGACGCGACGCAGCTTCGGTGTCGATGGAATCGGCGAAGCAGTGCCTTAGATCTCAGCAAAAAAGGCTGATTTGCGTGAAAGGGCTGAAATTTCGAGCCTTTGTTTTTTAAGTGGAGGCTGGTGTTTTTTTTTTTTTTTTTTTTTTTTTTTTTTTCCACTTGTATGCTGATTTTCCAGCATTTTTTTTTAGATTGTACACTGATTCATCAGCATTGGAATTCGAAAACAATATTTTATGTATTACTGTAGCCCGCCCCATAGCCCGCCTCATAGTTCGCACCAGGGCCCAAAATATCAGGGTGAGAACAAGGGGTCACAAGACCAGTCAAGCAAAGCAAAGCAAAGCAAGCTCAGGTTGGATCTCAACGTCACCACACATTCTGAGCACAAGTTCCAGGCCACAAGGCCAGTTCACATGCAACAGAGGATATATATAACAGTGCTAAACAAGCAAGAGCACGTATATATATATATGCAACAGTACAAGCAAGGTCAAGAGGTAAGCAAGTGAGGCCCGGTAGGCACAAGACCTAGAAGAGTGCAAAAGCGCTGATGGTCACAAGGCGGAAGCGCCTTGGTGAACATATCAGCAGTGTTGGCCTCAGTGGCCACGTGACGCAGACGAAGCTGACCGCGCTGCTGCAGCTCTCGAGCAAGAAAGTAGCGCAGAGCAATGTGCTTCGTCCTGTGCTCCAGTATGTGCTCCTCACACAAGGCAATGGCTGCCTTGTTGTCGACGTACATCACTAGAGGAGAACGAGGCCACTCTCCAAGGTCAGTCAGCAGGTAGGTGAGCCAGCGAAGCTCCTGGGCAGCCATGGCCGTGGCGTAGATCTCAGCCTCACTACTGGAGCTGAGAACAGAAGAAGAGCGTGTAGAACGCCAAGAGACAGAGCCAGAGCCAAGACTGAAGGTGTAACCCTGAGACGACCGCTGAGTAGCTTGGTCGTCTGCCCAAGAAGCGTCTGAGTGCCCAATGAGAACAGGCCGGTCTCGCCCTCCAAGCACTAGCCCCATGCACGACGTACTGCACAAGTAGCGCAACACCCTCTTAGCTGCATCCATGTGCTCCTTCCGGTGACGGCTGGGAGCAACATAGCGTGCTAAGATGCTGAGAGGGTATGCGAGGTCAGGTCGAGTGCAGGTTATCAGGTACATGAGGCAGCCCACAAGCTTTGGATACGGGCCACTCGACTGTACGGACTCATCCGAAGGCAGAGCTAAGAGCGAGTGTCCCGTAGGCAGAGGAGTGGACTGAGGCGAGGAGTACGTGAAGCCGAAGCGCTGAAGGACCTGCTGCACCATGTGTGACTGAGTCAGGGTAATGGTGCGGCGTGCTCTGTCCCGGGTGATCTGCAAGCCAAGATAGCTTGTCAGATCACCTAGGTCTGTGCACGTGTGTCTCTTCTGCAGCTCGGACTTCACGTGGGCGAGTGCGGCAGTGTCCGCAATGGCAAAGACCAAGTCGTCGACGTACACGAGGATGTAGAACGGCGGCAGCGAGGTGTCGGTGCGTAGAAACAGCGACGGGTCAGCAGTAGAGGGAGCGAACCCAAGAGCCGCAAGTGTAGTCCTCAGTGTGTCGTGCCACTCACGCGGCGCTCAGTGGGCGTAGCTCAGTGGGCAGGCTATCCACCGCATTGGCGTAATCGGAGAGACCCATGCCGGCGTACGTTGCTGGCCTGAGGGTGCTGTTGATTGTTGACCTGGTTGATGACATCTGGTGGTTGAAGACACCCATGGTTGACTTGTCGTTGTGCAACCACAGCAGCTTCATTGACTCTAGCCCTTCGTGAGACAAGTGGACAGCGAACGCCTCGAACACTTCCTCCGGTGCAGGGTAATACTGAATCTTCTCCGGAGGGTTCAGAAACAGGAGCTGAGAGCACACAAAGTAGGCTTTGCTCTGCGCATGGGTGTGGATTTACAACACGACACGGGGAGAGAGAAACCATCAATTATGACTCTGGCCGCGTGACACCCTCCCGCGTCCGCCACGTCAGGGAGGAACCAGCCCCACTTGCCACGTCACATCCACCCACCCCATGCCACGTCACCCCCCACCCACCCTCCTGCATCCGCCAAATCCACCAACGACCCTCCCCACGTGACACGTCACACCCACCCTCCCCATGCCACGTCACCCCCACCCACCTGACACGTGTAGCGTCGTCACGCGCCGCTCCCGTGTACCCTTCCAAGCCGCCACGTCAGCACCAAGCCACACATCCCGCCACGTCACACGCCCTTTCGTCTGCCACGTCAGGGATCAGCCAGCCCCACGTGACACGTCACACCCACCCTCCCCATGCCACGTCACCCCCCACCCACCTGACACGTGTAGCGTCGTCACGCGCCGCTCCCGTGTACCCTACCAAGCCGCCACGTCAGCACCAAGCCACACATCCCGCCACGGCACACCCTCCTGCATCCGCCACGTTAGGGAGTAGCCAGCCCCACGTGACACGTCACATCCGCCCACCCCATGCCACGTCACCCCCCACTCACCTGACACGCGTCGCCTCGTTGAGCGCCGCTCCCTTGTGCCCTTCCAAGCCGCCACGTCAGCAACAAGCCACACATCCCGCCACGTCACACGCCCTTGCGTCCGCCACGTCAAGGATCAGCCAGCTCCACGTGCCACGTCATACCCGCCCACCCCATGCCACGTCACCAAGCCACCCACCGCACACGTGTAGCGTCGTCACGCGCCGCTCCCGTGTACCCTTCCAAGCCGCCACGTCAGCACCAAGCCACACATCCCGCCACGGCACACCCTCCTGCATCCGCCACGTCAGGTAGCAGCCAGCCCCACGTGCCACGTCACACCCGCCCACCCCATGCCACGTCACACCCCACCCACCTGACACGCGGCGCCTCGTTGAGCGCCGCTCCCGTGTGCCCTTCCAAGGTGCCACGTCAGCACCAAGCCACACATCCCGCCACGTCACACCCTCTTGCGTCCGCCGTCTAAACCCACCAACCCAACCCACTTGCCACGTCGCACACAAAGATCCAAAAGAGCCACGTCATCCCCCGCCCACGTGTGGAGTCACGTGTCGCCCTGCACCGCTCCCGCGCACCCTTTCCAACCGCCAGGTCATTCCCAACCCTGCCCTGGTTGCCACGTCAACCCCAACCCGCCACATACCGGGAATGGGTTGGTCTCCTGCAGCACAAGCACACGTGCCTTGTCCACGGCACTCATCGGCGGCGGGGTACCACCCATCGGCACCACTGCGGCCCCCCCGGCATAGCTGGCAGTTGCTCCCCGACGCAGGCCGAGCTGAGCAAACATGGCGTACATCTCAGACCGTAGCTGCTGGAACTCGTCTCGTGTAACAAACTGCCCGTGCTCTGCACCTTCAGCCAGCGCATCCATGACATCCGGAAAAGGGTGTGTAGAAACCCCTCTCTGGCCAAGGGGATCAACGTCTTCTGCAGCAGCACCGTGTGCCCTCACACTATCACGCTGGCGGGAAAAGGGAAGCTCAGGGAAGGGATTGGCAAAGGTGCTTGGTTGATGCACACGCGATGGACCGGCGAGGGGGGAGACCGCCCTGCCCCGGGCTGGAGAAGCGTGTAGTGGCCGAAATGGGTATGAGGGAGAGGCGAGTGGGGAGTGCGTGATGGGGGCTGGTGGAGGGGATTCGGATTCCTCGCCTGTTGCCGCGCCGGGTGCAGTCGCAGCGACTTTGCTCGGGCCGGAGTATGGCGTGAAGAACCTTGGTCCTCCTGTGGATAGCGGTGCCACACTCGCTCTTCCGGCCCCTTTCGCTAGCTGCATCCGTTGCACGGTTACCGGTGGCCCAATGCCTGTAACACGGGGGGCTGAGAGTCACACGGAGGATGAGCACGGAGCTGGTGTCTATAAGGTGCATTTGGACACGTGCAAACATGACGAGCAACCGCATGATTCTAACATGGGTGTAGCACGGAACTGTAGTGTATAGTCACGCCTTACCCGGTTTAGCCGATTCGTCAACCTTCTCCTTCCCTGCGGCGGGAAAAGACGGGTGGAACACGGTGTTGTTAGGGTCTGTTCAGCACAAACCGCGGCAGCTATGCCAGTCGTTTGTGACACGTTGCTTACCACGTTGCTGTCCCTTCGGTTTTGCTGCCTGCTCCTTATCGTTGCCCCGTTTCCGCGGTGTGCTTTGGCGGGTGCTGCCTCGTTTACGGGCAGGTTCTTTCTTTGCCGAACCCACAGGTACCCCTTTCGCGCGCGGTCTCTTTCCGTCTCCATCGCCTTTAGCTCCCTGTCTCACTTGCTTCCTTCCACCCCGGTCAAGTTCAACCTTCACCTTACGCGCCTTCGATTTGCCCGCTGGTCCGCCACGCATTGCGTCACCCGCCCCGCGTTTCCGGGATTGTCCAGACCGGCCCCCCACCTTCCCTGTGCCACTCCCCCGTCCGCCTCGCGCGCCCCGTCCTTTCCCTGCCGGCTCCTCCTCCTCCTCCTCCTCATCCGCCCCTTCCTCCACCTCCTCTTCCTCCTCGTCGTCCTCCTCCTCCTCTTCCTCCTCCTCCTCCTCCTCCTCTTGCTCCTCCTCCTCCTCCTCCTCCTCCTCCTCCTCCTCCTCCTCCTCCTCCTCCTCCTCCTCCTCCTCCTCCTCATCCTCATCCTCCTCCTCCTCCTCCTGCTCCTCATCCTCGTCGTCCCCCTCATCGTCCTCCTCATCGTCCTCATCCTCATCCTCCTCCTCCTCCTCCTCCTCCTCCTCATCATCGTCGCCCTCCTGCTCATCCTCGTCCTTTTCTCCCTCCCCTGCATCCTCGTCCTCCTCCTCCGCATCCTCCTCGGCCTCCTCCTCCCCATCCCCCTCGTCCTCAACATCCGCTTCACCAGGGCCTTCTTTGCCGCGCTTCGGCCTATTCCCCCCCGAAGATTGCTTCCCCCTCCGTCCGCTAGATGGTTTCCTCGGACCGGATCCCACCTTATGCCGCATTGCATGATCTGTCGCCAAGGCACTTGGCGCTGTGGTGTCTCGTGTCAAACATTATATATTGTTGTAGTTGTGTAGGCTACAGTGGGTTAGCCTATAGGGGGTACACACTTCTAGGTTTCCATATTTGTACTCATTTCATTCCTTGTTCAACATGGTATAGAGGAGGTCCTTCCTAGGACCGTTTTTCCTAAGGGCCCACCACTACCTACCTGCCTATCTGCCTACCTGCCCTAGGGCGCCTCGAAGTTCATGCCTCTAGAGGCCCTGTAGGCCCCGCGCTGTTGCACCTAGAGGCCTCGAATCGGCCCCGCGCCTAACCCTAACGGCCCGCGTCGGCCCCGAGCTCGTCCCCTAGAGGCCCGCGTCGGCCCCGCGCCTACCCTAGAGGCCCGCGTCGGCCCCGAGCCTACCCCTAGAGGCCCGCGACGGCCCCGTCCTTACCCCTAGAGGCCCGCGACGACCCCGTCCTTACCCCTAGAGGCCCGCGACGGCCCTGTCCCTACCCCTAGAGGCCCGCGACGGCCCCGATCCTACCCCTAGAGGCCCGCGTCAGCCCCCGATCCTACCCCTAGAGGCCCGCGTCGGCCCCCGTCCCTACCCCTAACAGCTCGCGTCGGCCCCGTCCCTACCCCTTACAGCCCGCGTCGGCCCCGTCCCCAACCCCACCCGCTCCCCGCGCTCCCCTTAGCCGCCTCGAACGGCCCCACCTAGACCGCGCCGCCCGCACCGAACAGCCCGGCCCTAACGGAACCGAGCCGCCCGAACCGAGCCGCCCGACCCGAGCCGCGCCGCCCGACCCGAGCCGCCCGAACCGAGCCGCGCCGCCCGACCCGAGCCGCGCCGCCCTACCTATACCGAGACGCGCCGCCCTACCTGTACCGAGCCGCGCCGCCCTACCTACCTACTCCTCCTGCTGCTTTTACTACTGCTACTACCATGGCTAGCCCTCCAGTGCTAGCCTTTGATGCTCAGGGGCGCCCAGTGAAGTTCGACACCTGGCTTGATGACCTACACCTCTTCCTACAGCTCACTGCCAAGGAAGACATCTCGCTGTACGATCACGCCCTAGGCCACGCTACTGCTCCTGCTGCTACCGCCGACAGCACTGCTCGCTCACAGTGGCAGACTCGTGACGCCCATGCTCGCTTCGCTATCCGCAACTCTCTGCCGATAGATGAGCGCGAGCACTTTGGGCAGCACAAGACTGCACAGGCACTGTACACTGCTGTCGTTGCCCGCTACTCCTCACCGGCCTCTGCTGCTCTAGGCCGTCTCTCTCTTCCCTACCTGTTCCCCGACTTAGCTTCCTTTCACACTGTCGCTGACCTCATTACCCACCTCCGCACTAGTGAGGCTCGCTTCCGCGCCGCTATGCCTGATGAGTTCCTAGCCACGAACCCACCCCCGCTCTGGATCACTCTCTACCACCTAGTCACGCGCCTCCCTGACTCGCTGCGCTCAGTCAGGGACCACTTCCTCGCTCGCTGCCCCACCGAGCTCACCATTGCCCTCCTCGAGAAGGAACTCCTTGCAGCCGAGACTAGCATAGTCGCTGTAGGTGCCTCTCGCGGTGACCCCCGCACCCCGTTCTTTGAGGGGTGTTCTCCCTCCCCCCTTCTTCCCTCTGTCGCCTCTGCTGCTGCTGTCGACCTCCTTGGTGCTGAGAAGGTCGGGACTGCGTCTACTTCAGGCGGACGCCGCAGCGGCAAGGGCAAGGGGGGCAAGAGCGGTGGTGGTAACAGCGGGGGTGGCGGTGGTGGGGGAGGTGGTGGCGGGGGGGGTGGCGCGGGTGGGGGAGGTGGCAGCGGTGGTGGGGGTGGCGGCAGGGGCGGGGGAGGTGGCCGGGGCGGAGGAGGTAGTGGGGGTGGCGGTGGACGAGGCAGCGGCAGGGGTTGGGGTGGTCGAGGAGGTGGTGGCGGGAGTGGTGGGCGTGGCGGCACTGGCGGTGGCCAGGGACAGCAGCACACTCCCTCGCCCCAGGAGGTCCGTGAGTGGTACTCTCAGCACGGGGGGGGGGGTGGCCTTAGCTGCACGTACGTCATTCGCACTGGTGACCGCACTGGCCAGCCGTGTGGGGGACCGCACGACACACAGCGTTGCTTCGCTCGTCTGAGCGACGCTTGGCGTGTTCAGTTCCCTCAGGCCACTGAGCTGCCCCGCTGGCTTGATCTCCTGAAGAAGGGGATTGATATCTATGCTCTAGATTTTGATGCTATTCTCACTGCCATGTATGTGATATCTACTAGTGGAGAGGGTTCTGAGTACCTGAGTGTCCCGCCCGACCCGGGCATTAGGACTAGTGCGTCTGCTGCTCCAGGTACCCACGTGTCTGCTACCCCAGGTGCTGGTGAGGCTGCTGCTCTAGGTGCGTGCGTGTCTGCCCCCCCTGGTACTGTGTCGACTGCAGCACTGCACACCTTCACGCTGGATTCAGGTGCCTCTAGCTGTTTCTTTCGTGACCGCACTACCCTTGAGCCCCTTGCTCGGCCAGTTGCTGTCTCCCTTGCTGACCCCTCTGGGGGTCCGGTCATTGCGACCTCCTCCACTGTCCTTCCCTGCCCTGCAGTCCCGTCGGGCACACTGTCAGGTCTCCACCTCCCCTCGTTCTCCACGAACTTGGTGGCAGGTTCTGCTCTCCAGGACGGGGGTGTTCACCAGTTCACCCCTGCCTACGAGCGTGTGACACACTGCACGTGTGCTCGTACGGGCCGCCACTTGGCTACCTTCACTCGGCAGCCGGGGTCGGACCTGTACACACTGACTACTGCCTCCCCTCAGGTCGCTGCGTCTGCGTCTGCGTTTGAGTCCGCGTCAGGTCAGCTGTCTGCCCCCTGCTCGTGTCGCTCTCTAGCGCACAAGACTGTCCTCTGGCACCACCGACTTGGCCACCCGTCTGTGCAGCGCCTTCGTGCCATGCACTCCCGGTACCTTGTCTCTGGTCTTCCCAGGGTTCTCCCTCCTCTCCCACCCTCGCCTGCTCCTCTCTGCCTTCCCTGTGTCGAGGGGCGGCAGCGCGCCGCTCCTCACTCCTCCTCGTTTCCCCTGACGACTGCTCCTTTGCAGACGCTCCACATGGACGTGTGGGGCCCAGCCCGCGTCCGTGGTCAGGGTCAGGAGAGGTACTTCCTGATCGTTGTTGACGACTACTCGCGCTACACCACGGTCTTCCCCTTGCGCACCAAGGGTGAGGTCCCTGATGTTTTGATCCCTTGGATCCGCAGAGCTCGTCTCTAGCTCAGCGAGCGTTTCCGCTCGGACTTTCCTGTCCTGCGCTTGCACTCTGACATAGGTGGTGAGTTCTCCTCCGACCTCTTGGCAGCCTACTGTGCTGAGCACGGCATTGAGCAGTCGTTCACGCTTCCGGCCTCTCCACAGCAGAATGGGGTTGCGGAGCGCCGCATTGGCCTGGTCATGGAGGTCGCTCGTACCTCCTTGATCCATGCGGCTGCCCCCCATTTTCTGTGGCCGTTTGCGGTCCGGTACGCTGCGCATCAGCTCAACCTCTGGCCCCGTGTCTCCTTGCCGGAGACCTCGCCCACACTGCTGTGGACGGGGGAGGTAGGCGATGCGTCGCGTTTCCGGGTCTGGGGATCTCGAGCTTTTGTTCGCGATTCGTCTGCAGACAAGCTCTCCTCTCGTGCTGTTCCCTACGTCTTCCTCGGCTTTGTTCCGGACGCACCTGGTTGGCAGTTTTACCACGCCACCTCGCGCCGGGTCTTGCCCTCTCAGGACGTCACTTTTGACGAGTCTGTCCCCTACTACCGCCTCTTCCCCTACCGCACTTCCCCGCTCCCTCCCCCGCCTCTCTTCCTCGCGCCAAGTGCTGCTGTCGTAGACCCCCTCCCCCCTCAGGGTGCCGCTCCCTTAGGTGTGTCTCAGGTAGACCCGGTCGAGCCTGTTGAGGTTGCTGTCGACTCTCGTCCTGCTGGGGGTGCTGAGCCTGGGGGTGCGGACACTGGGGGTGTTGAGCCTGGGGGTGTGGACTCTGGGGGTGCTGAGCCTGGGGGTGCTGACTCTGGGGGTGCTGAGCCTGGGGGTGCGGACTCTGGGGGTGCTGAGCCTGGGGGTGCTGACTCTGGGGGTGCTGAGCCTGGGGGTGCGGACACTGGGGGTGTTGAGCCTGGGGGTGCTGTGCCTGGGGGTGCTGAGCCTGGGGGTACGGTGACTGGGGGTGCTGAGCCTGGCGGTACTGCGCCAGGGGGTCCTCTGCCTGGCCGAGACCTCTCCTCGGAGCAGTTGCGTGAGTGGTACTTACAGTACTGCAGCCTCCGGAGGGGTACCTCTGGAACCAGGTGCGCTACGGAGACTGGTGCTGGCACTTCTCCTTCTAGTCGGGAGCTCCCCTCTCGTGAGCGGATCCGTGAGTGGTACGAGCGCCGTTGCACACTTCGTAGTGGCGCGCCTCGTCTCATGGACCCTGCTGCTGCTGGTGCTGAGGACCCGGGCGTTGGAGCTGCTGCTGGTGCTGAGGACCCGGGCGGTGGAGCTCCTGCTGGTACTGCGGACCCGGGCGTTGGAGCTGCTGCTGGTGCTGAGGACCCGGGCGTTGGAGCTGTGACTGGTGCTGAGGACCCTGGTGTTGGAGTCCCTGCTGGTGCTGCAGACTCGGGCGTTGGTACTGCCGCTGGGGGCACTGGTGCTGTCCCTGCTGTGTCTAGAGTCGCCGCGCGCCCTCAGCCGTACTTTGTTCCGCTCCTTCAGCAGGTTCTTGGTCTCTCGCCTCCTCCTGGTCCTCCCCCTCCTTTAGTGTGTCTAGTGCCTGTTCAGTCCCTGCCTGCTCCTTCTCCTTACTCTGGTCCTACTGACGGTCTTACTGAGCGTCGTGAGCCTGCGTCTCGCCCTGCGTCGCCTGTCCGTCCTGCTAGCACTGGAGCTCGTACTTCGCGTCCACGTCCTCCTCCTGCCCCTAGCACGCACCGGATGTCTCTGCGTCCGTCCACTGCCCCTCTGCGTGCCCCTTTGCCTTCTCCTCCTGCTTCCTCTCTTCCTGCTCTTGCCGA